CATGATGTTTCAGGCAGCATAAGTGTGGAGAAACCAAAGCCAGTGGCATTTTTTTTTGTGTTGTAAACTCAACTTTTATTTTCACATTCATTTATGGTTTTTTGCAAGCATTGAAACAACACAATAAAAAGAATTTGCTCAAATGTACAATTGGTTTCACAGTTGAATTTCAGTCAGATGCAGCGTTCAGTTGTCGAGCTGCACTGTCTTTTACTAAACCACAGTATTTTACCTGTTCTGTTGCTCATTGTCTCCCTGTGCATTGCAACGAAAGGTTTCTACAGAAAAAGAAATATTGTATTGACCATTTTTATTCACTTAAAATCAACAGAATCATTCAGGCCTGATCATGTGAAACCAGAAACACATTTACACACTTATTATTAATTAATGCCAACATGTCCTGATTGTTATGTAGTTTTGAATCAATTCTAACCAAAAACATGGAGAAAGCTTGTCTTTATATCTTTTTTTCTTTTGCTTTTTGTGTTTTGTTAAATCGGAAGCCGTTCTTTTCCATCATCTGTTGATCAGTTGTTCTCTGTCATTCTATTATTACAGACTAAATGTTGGTACCTCAAATTTGACCCAAGCAGTACCTCAGCTGATGTTTTTGATAAGTCACCTGCAGCGCAAAGGGGAGACCATACACCTGTACAGCCATGTGTAGTAACATACCATTGCTTTAGGTCCCAGTATTCACATGGGATTCTCTGTTGCTCCATCGTGTTTGTGGTTTATTTAAGTTGTATTCAGAAGCTGAAAAGGATTTTTTTTTTTAAATGAGTAATATGTTAAAATGCTTAAAAAAAAGTCAGTCTGTAGTATCAATGTAGCTTGTATAAACCTGAAAATGGGGGAGGTTTGGAACTAATGTTTTCTGGAAACGCAAGAGCGGCTTTCAGCGGCAAAAGCTGGCCTTTGTCGCCACTTAAGACTAAGATGGTATTAAATTAAATCCACATCTCTGTAACTCAAGGGACTTGATTCAGCTGTATGTAGTGAAAACGTATGGGGATGAAATAAAAGTCTCCTCTGCTGGAGGGAAAGGCTATTTGTATTTTGCAGAGATTTCAGTAAAGTTACTGGCTTTCTTAGTTATCCTGATATGACTTGGTGTGATTTCATTGTGTTTGACTTGTTCCTGCATGCACTCCAGAAACAGTGGCTCCTGCAGACTCAAACAAATAAGACACATTCACGTTCATATTTATGCATGAAACTCTGCTTCGCGTCAGGATAACTGTATAAACTACATGACACTGAAACAATGACAATGGCATCATTTTCACATTTGCTTCTTTGCATTTACAATAAAACAAATCCGACACTTTGCCATAAATATTAATGCAAAAAAGGCTTTTATTTGACATTTAAAGCCGAGGTTTATCTCACTTAAATTTACAGAAGCATCATCTTTCTCAGTGATACATCATTCTACACACACAGTGCACATGGATCCTCAATTCACAATGAGAGAAAAAAAAACCCTGTATGTTCATCAGTAATCTACAAACACAGGGAGCTGCATATCCGAGGGATGTGAAAAATCCCCCTGAAGCACACATGAGAAGAAGAAAGAAAGAAAAGAGAACAATCACTAAAATCTCTCTTTTTCTTTCCTCACTGGTTTCTAATTGTTTTTAAAATTACATCGCCAGTGTCTGATTAAATTCTGACTCGTGAAAACACAACAATCAGTAACAACAGTTGTTGATTTTGTGTTGATGTGATTTCAGTGTGGCGATGCTAGAGATGAGCCCCCCCCCCCCCCCCCCCCTTGTGTTTCTCTTCTTCCCAACAACATAAACACAACACGTGTCATTTCCTTAACCTAAAAACCACCAGAGCTTTAATATGAAGGAGGACCAATAATCAAACGAAACCATTCCGATACTGAAATTCGAAACCGAGCTTTTGGAGCCTTTTATTCGTTTTGTCCCTTCACTGCAACTTATTTTATATAATAATCAGGATCTTTTATCTGACTTTTTTTTATTTCATCAGTTTTTTTCGTTAGAATTTGAAAAGATACGTCGCAGACTGTCGTTTTTAATTTTCTATTTTATTCACATCACGTAGTTAAATGTGCATCAAAGCTTTTAGGTTGAGATGCGTTCAAATGCTTTTTGGAAACTCTTGGAGCCACATCACTTCTTATTTAATCCAACAAATTAGATTAAATCAGTTTTTAAAAAGACGTTAAGATGAAGTACATTGAAACACGAACAAAAAAAACAGATATTTATGGCAATACAATGTAGAAAAGCATTTTTTTTTTCGAAATTATGCAATTATACTTT